GGCGGGGCAGGGGCCGGGCCAGCTTCGTGTGGAGGAGGCATCGGAGGTCGCTGAGGTCTTTGCCTTCCAGTTTCGTCTCCCTCGGGGGGTGCAGTTGTGCCCAGACATGTCCTTGGAGAATCTTCCCGAGCTGTCATTCCGGTAGAGGACTCGTTTTCCCTTTCGTGAGGATGACGTTTTGAAAAACACAACCCACTTTCCATCCTGACTGAGCTCATCCCTGTGATCTGTATTCTTACACAGCCTCACTACATCATTGTCTTTGGGGTCCAAATTGTGGAACCGACTTGTGTGACTTTAGTTACGAACCTATCGCATTTATTGAGCATGTACTCGGCACCTGCCAGTTGACCCCTTTGAGCTTAATTCGTCTATACAGCTGTGCTTACCTTGCAGGATTCTGAGAAGGCAATGATATATAAATGCTAAATCCAAGGCAGGACACCCAATGACGGTGATGTTATTATAATTACTGCAATGCTAGAGACTGGAGATAGAGTTGAAAAGACCCAGCCCTCACTTTGCAGGCTGGTGGGGAGACATGCATTATTATAATGAAGATATTTTTAAGTACTATAAGAGCATTGAGGTGAACAGGTACATCTGCATAAGCAAGTCAGAGGCCACCCAGAGCAGAATGATGACGCCCTTGCCTGAGCAGGTGGTGTTTCTTCCAAGGATTTTGGGAGTAGTGCCTACTGTTCCCTGTGAAGCCTTCACTGTGCATTTTAAGGTTACCCTTTCATTGCCCATTTAAAACAAACAAAAAGCAACAGCTCCGATGTGATACCATTTGTAAATGTTTGTCCTGTTCTACAATGAGTTTATTTTGTATTTCCAGCAGAGCCAGCACATGATCTGTTGTTCTGCCCTTCGTGCTCCTCCACCCTTGCCCTTTGGACCCTCTACTTTTTTCTCTCTGTCCTCCCGAAACTGATGGAGAACTACTTTGATTCATTGTTTTTACTGAAATAAAATTGATCAACTTTTTTAAAAAACTAAAAGCAGATTGCTGAATGACTAGATATATTTCCCAGTTGTTTGTTTTTTGAACTGATGTTTCCCCCCATGACCGGTAGCTTTTGTAAAGGAACATTTCTTCTGTTAAAAATTTATGGAGAGTTGTGAGGGGGCTGGAATGGGAGGCAGAGAGAATCAATACATGAGATGGTTTTGAGTGCAAAACAATTTAGGATCAGAACCTGAAGCATTATTTAAGTAACCAGCAAGAAAAACAAATTTATTTTGAGAGGCATAACTTATGCTCATATAGAGGCTCCTATGTCTTAAGACTTTTCAGATTTCGTATTTCAATAAAGCATTACTTGGCTTTTCTATATGTAAACTACTTCTGTTTTAGAGAAACTATCAGCAAGATATAAACTTTTCCAAAGACCAGTGGTAAGAGTTAATATTCTCTTCCACTCCATTTTCTCTTGGAAAAGGCAGAGCTACGGTTTTGTATCAGGTGGTAGTCACTGAAAAGACTTATGTAATGTTAATAATTTTCATGAACTTACCTGAATCTGGTTATCTCAGTTATTCGGAACATTGTGTATATAAAGTTGTGAGCTTGATCTTCCTAATGTGGACTAGTTAGCTTCACTCGGTTTCGAGGTAAAAGGTCTATCTCTAATTCAAAATGTAATCATTAGAAAAAAAATTTTCAAGTACAGTTGATACTTGTAAGAAGGCCATGCATAAATCTTACGCGCTTTTAATAGGAGGACTATGAGCATGCTGCCCTCGTATATAAATGATGGCATTAGAAACTCCATATTGCATCTTCTATATCTCAAACAACAGGTTAGTGATTCATCAGCACATGAACATCACCCATGAAATTGAAGAATTCAGCTTCATCCGGCATTTATTAAGAACCTAGCATGGGTAGCACAGTATTCTAAAAGTCACATTAGATCTTAATCATAATTGCAGTCGAGAGGACCTCACAGAATATGGACACCTGACATTATAACTATTAGAAAGCCAAAATTAAGGACAAAAATAAATTTTAGACTGAAATATCTTAATAAAGAGAACCTGAGGCTTGCCACTTTTACCCTGGTGATTTGGAGGTGCTTTCGTACAGTTGTTTATAAATTTGGGAGTGCGTAAGAATCAACTGATTTCCTAGCAGATTCTGATGTATTCTAAAATTTGAGAATCACTGATCTTGTGGTGACTAAAGTATTAGTCCTGTGGTTTTAGAATGTTTGTTTGTTTGTCTAATTATTATGGGTTTCCCCCTCATTTTGTTTGTTTTTTGTTAGCAACTTTTCCCCTCGATCTCACAAAAACTCGACTCCAAATGCAAGGAGAAGCTGCCCTTGCTCGGCTGGGAGACATTGCAAGAGAGTCTACGCCCTATAGGGGCATGGTGCGCACAGCCCTAGGGATTGTCCAAGAGGAAGGCTTTCTAAAGCTTTGGCAAGGAGTGACACCCGCCATTTACAGACACGTAGGTATTTATCTTTGATTCTGGCTGGTAAGTTTGTTATGATTTCTGTGTTTGTCTCCTCTGCTTTTCTGTTTAGCTATATCCAAAAACCAGTTAGTTTTTCCTACTAATGTTATAAACAAATATATAGTCTCTTAAAAAGAAGAAAATTAACTACCAATTGTTATTAAGGAATTATTGCCCTAAATTTTTAGAAATACATATAGAAGTATCTAGGGATGAACTATCATGATGCCTATAATAGACTTGAAAGTAATTAAGCAAAATAAATAAATAAATAAATAAATAAAGCAAAAATGGCAAAAATGTTAATAATTGATAAACCTTACTGATAGATATTGAGGGAGTTGTGTGTTATTTTCTCTACTTCTCTGTTTCAAAATTTTCCTGATAAAATTTTTTTCAAGTTTAAGAAAGAAAAAATATATAATTGATGTTTTTCTCCACTACAGAAACTTTAAACACAAAATTAAAAATTTTTGTGTTGTTTGAAAATTAAAATATATTTGACCACAATGCCAAATCTCACCATTCTCAGTCCCATATGTTAGAAACCAGACTACTCTGAAGGCAGAAAGCAAGGACAACTCTATCCAGCCCTGGCAATAGAGTAAATGCAAAGCAGGTGCTTTTTGCCTCAGGTTTTCAGGCTACCTAACTAGCTATGTGGGCCTTAGTCACTCTCAAAGGAAAATAGGCGTAAGTACATTATAGCCAATGAGAACATTTTTCTGCTCTCCTTCCTGAGTGGCACTCACAAAGACTGGAGTTGCTGAGTTTTTAGCTTGTGGACAGGAGATCAAAAGGTGGTAGGTGTGGGATTTTTCTCCTCTACATTCATAGTGTTTCCTTAACTTTGAAGGGACCCTTGATCAGAGAACTGCCCAGGAGTAACTACCATCTTATTTTGAAAGCTTCAGTTCTTCAGATGAGTAAATCAGAGTGCATTCGGCAAGAACTATCTAGCCCTGGCCCATCTGGCTCAGTGTTTAGAGCATCAGCTCGGACACAGAAGGGTCTTGAGCTCGATTCCAGTCAAGGGCCTGTAACTCGGTTGCAGGCTCAGTCCCTGGCCCTCAGGGGCATGTACAGGAGGCAACCGATGTGATGTGATGTCTCTCTCCCTTCCACTTTCTGTGAAAAGCAATGGAAAAAATATCCTCAAATGAGGATTAAAAAAAATAAAAATTTAAAAAACAAAAACAGCTATCCAGAAGTGTCCATAGAGACTGTTGTTATTTTTTACATTTTTTAATATCTTAAAATATTTCATCAAACTTCCTGAAATATCAATAAATCTCTCTATATGAATATCATGTGCTGATTTTAATTATCTTTATTTTCCAATCTTCTTTTTAGATTTTTTCCTTTGCTTCCCATTGTTGTTTTGAATTTCATTTCTTCTCATTTGTATTTGTTGATGACAACATATGGTTTTATAGTTAAGCTTCGTATGTTTGACACTTGACTGTAGTAAATTATCCAATGAAGTTGTATGTGTTCATTGAATGAAAATGTCTACCGTGTACCCAGCTCTGTACTAGAGCATATAGAGTAATGAAAACCTACCTTGAAAAGCTCATGGTCTGATGAAAAGGTGAGCTAGAAAATGAAGTTTATCTCTAATCAGTAGGATAAATGCCGTATTAGATGTGTGCCTGTGTGGTTCTGTGAGAACAGAGGGGAAGCCTGGCAGGTGCCACTGACAGCCTGGAACAGTGGAGGGAAAGTCAGAGAGCATTTCTGGAAAAGTCGTTCTCCAAGTTGAGTTTTGAAGACTGGAAGGAGTTAGCAAAGCAGAGGAGGGAGAGTGCATTCAAGAAAGATCAGACAGCATGTGAGAAGGCCTGAGGCTGAAAAAGGCATGCCATGTAGAGAACCATCAAGAAGTCCACGTGTCAGAAGCATAGCTGCATGAAATAAAGACCCAGGCCACGTCAGAATGCCCTGTTCCTTTATTAAACATAGAGCTGAGTCCACCTTTTCCATGATCTCTTACACAGTGTACTCTGGAGGTCGAATGGTCACATACGAACATCTCCGGGAAGCTGTGTTTGGCAAAAGTGAAGATAAGCATTATCCCCTTTGGTAAGTTTTGTTTTGAAAATAATATGCTATTGCCCCTAAGGCTTTAATGTTTTATCCATTAGGTATATAAAATTATGCATTTGTACCAAAATTGCCTCAAGTTTACAGGCTTAAAATAATATTTACAATATAAGTCCAAATAGTTGAGCATTTACTACACTTTGTATGCAAATGTATATATGTATATAAAATTGTGTATATTATTTAACATTTTAATATTAAAAACTATTCTAGAGTACCTTCTTTATTCCTTTTTCTACTGAGAAATCCTGGGCTTTAGGATAAGGCAGAGATGGGCTCAAACTTCTGCCCCACCAATGTGTAACCTGAGCAGACTATTTGGATTTCAGCTCTGTGGTCTTTTAACCTTTCCCTCCATAAACAGACAAAGCACCTACTTTCCTCTGATTTGTTCGGGTCTGTTCCTTGCTTTGTCTTATGCCCTTATGCAGGGGCCATACCAGCGTGATATTACTTACCACAGAACTTGTGAAATTAATGGTAACCTTTAAAAATGTATCTCCTTCTATAATCAGGAAGTCGGTGATTGGAGGGATGATCGCTGGCGTGGTTGGGCAGTTTTTAGCCAACCCAACGGACCTAGTGAAGGTTCAGATGCAGATGGAAGGAAAACGGAAACTCGAAGGGAAACCACTACGGTAAGTGCTCTAAGTGACACCTTTCTTTTCACCCTTGCTACCATCATATTTTGAACATTTACCTAGTGAATGTATGCATATTTGTAATTCGACATTCAGTAAAGACATTGATTCCGACTCTTGTAATTTGAAGTTGTATCCATTAAGGGGAGAGCTGAGATGGAGCTTCTCTTTGCATGATAAGGTTTACGTTTTCGCTACAGGCATATGTGTGTGCTGCTTTCCCAGCCCAGGCAGCCATGTAAAGAACTTGATCATTCAAGTTTGCCCTGCTGTGAGTCCCAGTTTTGCCATCATGGCTTGCTATTGTGGAAGTCACTTAACATGTCTAGTTTCTGTTTCTCTGTCTTTACAAAGGACCGTCTCAGAAGGTCTACCTGGCTCATAGGTGCCAAAAGCTTGGGTTCCTTCCCTTTCTCCCTGAAAGAAGGGAAATAGCAGAGATGACCTTGCAAATGGTTCCCGCTTCCCTAATCCAGTTCCTCTTCTTTTTACCAAGTTTAAGGAAGGTTTAAACTTATGCCTTTGTGATATAAAATCCTATTGCATTGCCCTATATTATCGAATTCTGCCTTTCTTCTAAGGGCTTCATGTTCAACAATTTATAAAAATACTGCTTACCAGTTTCCCCGGGAAAGGAGCAAAATCTTGTAGATAGACCCCTCCCAGAGGAAAAGTGCAGGATGCCTTGAGCTGAGTATGAAGGGGTCTGATCCTCTGAGGACTGCAGGTCTGTGGCTGAGCCAGAGCGGGGGGAGGTTTGGGGCCTCCTTTGGGAGTTCACTCCTGACCGCTGCTCTCTGCTCTGCCGCAACCTGAGCTGACTCAGTGGAAAATGAGGCTGGGCTGGGAAAGAACATGCACCACAGAGGAGAAAAGGGAACCTCTCTGATTTAACCAAGCAGTTCACAGAATCCCAGGGCCTACTTTGTCATCTGGCAGCAACATCTAATTACTCAGTAGCAGGGAGAAGTGATGTTGCCTTGGTTGGATACAGGGAGAGAACTAACTATTGGGATCCAGAAATATCTGCATTTTTAACTGATTGCCTCAGTTTTTTTCCCCCCTCTCGCATCTTTAATGTTGGAACTTTTTGATTTGCTGTAGTAATAAAAAACATTGAATGTTGTTGTAAAGAACATGAATCTTGGGATGGATCAGACAACCTGGGATTCAAATCCAGCCTTTACCACATTCAAACTCTGTAACCCTAGTCAGGCTCCTTAACCTCTCTAAGCTTCAGTTTTCTCAGATGTAAATTGGAATAATAATAAACACTTCCATGGAGTTTTCAGAAATAAAATGTACCTTATGTATATAAAAAAGTCTAGAGCTTAATAAATTTTAGTTACATTGACCATTCGTGAGCATAACTTTCCATTTGGCATCACAGCAATTATGCATGCCTAATAAATACCGTATTATCTTTTCAGAGAGACTCAGAGAGTGTAAGGCCTGAGCAAAAGCCATACAGCTAGTAAGTGGAAAGGTAGCATTTGACTCCAGATATTTCTAACTATATAAAATCTAGATTTTTATTTTATACTAGAGATTTCCAGGTTTGGTTCATGGTTTGGTACCATTTTTTATCTGGGTATAAAAAATAAGCAAAATAATAATCAAATAGTAAATTCTGATAAAGCCAAAAGTATTCTATTTTAAAACCTCCTATGATGAGGTTGTCCTTCATACTTTTTGGCCTAAAAATATTCTTTTATGAGATCCTCACATATGAGGATCAGTGTTTCTTTATGTTGTTATTTGGTGATATTTACAAAAAGTACAGGTCTCCCACAAAGTAGTGAAAGGAACCCAGAGGTATGATAACTACTGTTCCCTCCTATAATTAATATGTACCCTAATTATATAAAATATCAAGAAAGGAATTTTAATCCGTTCAAAAATCTAAGAAGTATGACACAGTTTATAAATATTTCCATTAAAAATGTTTAATTAAATGTTGTCCTTTTTTCTAAAGGGTTATTAAGTTTACCTGGAAATTAGACTTACGTGGATTGCTTTAATTTCTAACAATTCTGGATAATTAAGATATTATTTTACTCCAAATCATAACAGCTATAGGCAAAGCTTATCTAGTTGCATTTCATACAAAGGAATGCATGCAGTTTTTACATTTCATTATTATTTTCCTTTAGATTTCGCGGTGTGCATCACGCATTTGCAAAAATCTTAGCTGAAGGAGGAATACGTGGGCTCTGGGCAGGTTGGGTACCCAATGTACAAAGAGCAGCGCTGGTGAATATGGGAGGTAATGGAAACTTCATTGAATGCTGAGAAGCATAATAGCCTTAATCATTGTAAGTACTCACCTCCGGGAAAATGAAAAATGTTATTATTTTTAGTAATATATATTGGCAACAGTCTTCGTTTATGTTGTAATATCATAATTGAATATTGAATTCCCCTAGAGCATTTTCACTTTTTTGTATGGTGATACATGAAAAGGATTATCAAAAAAAAAAAAGCAAATTGTGACAATAAAGATAAAAGACCAAATTATTTCTAAGGTCTCCTCTCTGGCCCCTACCTTCCTCTGAGATTCAAAAGACATTCATTGTTGAATAAATAAATTTCAGCCTTCTTTTTCTTTCTGTTGCTAGATTTAACCACTTATGACACAGTGAAACACTACTTGGTATTGAATACGTCACTTGAGGAGAATATCATGACTCACAGTTTATCTAGGTAAGTGGTTGTTTTAGTTTTAGGCTTTATGTTTTTTCTTTAGATCACCTTTTCTTCCATGTGTGGTATATACTCGAACTTTTTATCTCTTTTGCTTGGGAATCTAGGGATCTCACACTTAGAGAAAGGTGATAGTACATTTATAAAGAGCAATTTTCTTAAAGTTTGTTGCAGTTAAAATGGGGAAGACAGAAGCAAAGTTGTAGAATGTTTCCTATTAAACCTCCCAAATATTTGCACCTTGATGGGGCCTTTCCAGGCTCAGGTTCTGATAATGGACTCTCCAGCTCAGTTGAACAGATATATTTGAGCATCTTCTATGTTAAAGGCACAGTGCAGGCCCTTGTAATCAGTACAAAAGGTAAACCCAACTCCTTCCCAGAAAGTTTACCAAGACAAGCATAAAAACACTGTACAGTAAATGCTAAAAGAAAGTGACTAGTTACTGTAGAGTTCAGAGGAGGGAGATGTAATAACCACTTGGAAGGACCTACAAAGGAGATAGAATTAGATACCTGTTTTGAAGGGCTATAGAGACAGGAAGAAGAGCATTCCAGAAAAGAGCAGTATGTACCTTAATCTCTTTGCAACACAGTTTCAAATATCCATCAGAGTGAGTTATTTTCTAGATCTCTAATGTCCTTAACATTATAGTGATTTTATTCAGCTTCTGATCGTTTCCAAATTCTAGAACCCTGTATGCTATTTAGACAACCCCAAAAGTAAATTAAGTGTCAAACCAATGATATTTGGAGACATTAGATATAGATAAAAATGATTCCTAAGTCAGGTCCACCTTAACTAAATATTCCTAGGGTAGTGTTTCTTCATTCCTCCTCTTTTAAAATAAGTGTTTTTAGTGTTGCTGTGGCAATCTTTTTATATGTCTTTGCTTGCTGTTCTTTCCCATTCCAAACTCTCACCCAGGTGTGTTCTCTGTACCATACCTTCTCTACAAATAGTCCAGCCTCCTCTTTCACAGAAAACTGAGAATTTTAGGGCTCCTTCCACTTTTACCTCCATCCCTATAAATATGTGCATTATATCTGTAGTCACCCTTACTTACTTTCCTCCACTATTTTTGTGCCTGCTGTCCCCTCTACCTGTGAGACTTTCTTCACTAGTTTCTACCTCGTCAAGTCATCGTGAGACTTATCTTCCTAGATACTTGTCTGCTCCAGTGTATGCTGTACTCTGGGAGCAGGTTATTCAGGTCTGTCCAAAAGTCCCACAGTGATATCATCTCTGTTTCTCTTACACCGTCTTTCTACCCAAAGGGTCTTTGAAATCCCACATTTCTCACCTAAGATTCACAGATTTCCCAGCACTAGTAAATCTGTTTCACGTGTACTACTCCACCTCCCAGATTAAGTCTTTTTTGGGAAGACTTAAGATTTCTAGCTGTAATGTTCCAGCCCTGAATCTGTGAAAATATATTAGCTTTATTCTTCTCTAATTCAGGTTTTGAGAAAATGGGATGATTGGTATTTGGCTCATTTTTGAGCTCCACCCACTGGATCAGGTTTTTAAATGGGTTGGTATGAATATGTGAGGCAGCTCAAAAGTTGCTCACTGTGAACTCAAATCTAAGTACGTAAACAGTGCTTTGTGATCTGAAGGTTGTGGATACTGTGTCATAGGACAAAGTGAATGCTTATGGAGGCGTGAAGGGGTTGCAGCTCTACAGTCAGAGAGCTTTACACAGGCCATCAACATCTGAGGGGAAAGGAGTTTAATGTGAAGGAGAATAGTAAAAATAGTGTAAGCTCTGCGCTACACACTTAAACAAGGTAAAAATGGTAAATTGTATGTTATGTATATTTTAGCACAATTTTTAAAAATGGTGTAAATAAAAGGAAGTCCTGGGACGGGGCAAGAGCAGTGGAAGACTATGGTTAGAATTTTAGTGAGATGTGAAGGCAGGTGGCAAGAAAGATGGAAGTTGAATTAATGGTCAGGAAATTGTGTAGAACGTAAAGATCAGGATAATCCCCTTTTTTCTTTTTGTAAAACCATGAGGCTATTAAGAGGTAAATCTGTGCAAAGGTCAATCTCCATTGTGTGAAGATAAAACCTGAGCATGTTTATTTTGTTGATCCTGATGAGTATCGCTCATTCTGACACAGTGCTGATGGATTATTTTAAACTAGTCTTGTAGAGAGCCACTTGTCTCCAAGGGAGAAGAGGAGACTTGTTCAGTCACTCTCTGTCCATTTTCACTCTAGCTGTGTCCTGGGCCTCATTTTAGGGTATTACTTGCAAGGAGTGATAAACGTCAGTAGCGAAAGTACCAATGCCCATTATAAGTAGCTTGGCAAAATCGATGTTCCTGTTATTGCTCTATCTTCTTACTTCAACTCTAGGTGCCATCTCACTTGATGCCTTTTCAATACATGATTTGCTCTCTTTTAATGTTTATTTTTTAAAGATGTCTAGCCAGATCATACTGTGGCCTCAAAACAATTTGATATTTTGTGTTAGTTAAGAAATTTCTGTGTGAAAATACAAAGGTATATTAAAGTCAATGATATTAAACTTTGAGTTTCAAAGACTCTGAACCAACAGGAAAGAATATGAAAAGAGCTATAGTCTGTATTACCAGAATATGTATGGCGAAACAATACTTTTTTCCACATAGGTCATTTGCTGTAATATGTAAATAGGTTGTATGGAATCCTTCTCTTGAATTCAAGTAGGTCTGAAGTGACCTTTCCTTTGAATGTTAAGTCCTGATCTGAAGCAGGTGGAAAGAGTCTGGGCACTTCCTGCAGTGGCAGTTTAGAATAAGAGGAGTATGAAGATTCCTGGGGCAGCTTCAGCTTTCCTACCACAGAGCCTTAAGGCTTCAGAGAGCTCAGTGGTCCTTATCTTTGTGAGGTATTGATGTGCCCGAAGGACATAAAAGTTTTACACGATTTTCCTTTCTAACTTTCCATTAGCAAACATAAGCCATTCTCCAGGCTCCCATGATCCCAGTCCCTGGACTCAGCTGCCACCTTCTGGGGCATGGGCCTCTGTTTTCTGTGATCAGGTTGACCCCTCCTCTTTTCCTCAGATGCCTTTCTCTCGGAAAACTTTTTTAAGTAGTTAGTGTTAAGTTTTATTTTATTTTTTCCATCACCATTTATCCCCTCGATGCCCTCTTCCGCTTTCCCCCACTCACCTCCACCCCTGAAATCACCACACTGTTGTCCACTTTTCAGTCACTTACTTCCATGCTCTTGATTTACTGTGTAGGGCAGTAGGTTGACCACACCCATTTTGCCTCTTTTGAGTAACTGACAAGAAGCCTTTTACGGGGAGTGATTAACCTTGTTGGGTAAAGAGAGAGGGATAAGCAGAAACTCCTCAGACCTTGTGCCTGAGCATAGATTGAGGAGAAAACTGAAGTTTCCAATTATGTGGGGTGCAGGGCATTCCAAATGAAAGAATTAAAGGCATGGAGGCGTTGGTTAGTGTGTTAAGTGCAGAGAACTACACTTAGTTATCACTTAGTTATATTGTTAGAGCATAATGGGCAGAGAGAGAATATCTAGAATAAACCAAAACTCCTTCGTAGCCTTCATGGGCTGAGCTCTGCCTGCTTTAGTTTTTCATCTGGCGGGGCTCTCCTTCAGGATGCCGCAGCCACGTTGGTTGCTTTCTGTCTCTAACACGCCAAGAGTATTCGTGACTCGGGGATTTTACTGTGCTCTTCCTCCTGCTTGCACAGCTCTTCCTCCAGGTCTTCACATAGACACTACTTCTCTGCTGTCACCCAGTGACTCCCTATCACATGACCCCATTTCATTTTCTCGTAGCACTTGGCATCTGAAACTATTCACTTCTCCTCTGCCTCTCCCCACGTGGACCGTCAGTGCCTCGAGGGCAGGATCTCACCATCGTCTTGTTCCCTGTCTAGAAGAGCGCCTCCCTCAGTGGGTGTTCAGTGTATAGTTGACCGACATTCTTTAACGAATTTAGCATTGATTTTAGTGCTAAAGGAGCATTATTGTGAAGAACATTACAGTAATTTATTTAGCGTTCTGTTGCTTCTAAATATTAAATTCCCTCTTCTTAAAATTTAGAGACGACTGCACATCGTCATTCGATTTCCTCTATTTGCATTTTTAGTTTATGTTCTGGACTGGTAGCTTCTGTTTTGGGAACACCAGCCGACGTCATCAAAAGCCGAATAATGAATCAACCGCGAGACGCGCAGGGCAGGTGCGTAGGACACCCCCGTGCACAGGCCTGGGCACCTGTAACAACGCCGCTCTTCACACATGGCCCCTTGTTTGTTCTTAACAGAAGTGTGTCTGTGTGCGCAGCAGGGAAATTGGTTTTATGCAATTACTTGCTCTTTGGCTGATGGAAAAGTACTGTGCCTTTGGGGAAATAAGCCAATTTAACAATCGTATTATTTAGACACAAGATACTTATCGTGACTTTATTGTTTTCAAGGAGGTTTTGAAAACATACTCTGCTGAGAATTTACAGAGTACTTTCTTCTGAAGCTTATGACTTGCAGGTGACACGGAGAATCTGATTTGACCTAAACCAGTACGTTCTCTCTGAAAGAGATCAGGTAGAGTGAATTCTGAGTATAAGACCAAGGGTGGGATGAGTCAGAAGAGTCAACCTTGGAAATACCTTCAAACTCAAAAGAGGTGATCTCCACACAGCAGGTCCTCAGACAGTATCATTCACTCAGCATTGTTTCCTTTTAACGTCAATGAGATGCCGTAGGAATTTAACTCTTGTTTCTGTCAATTGGCCTTTGGTAAAACTGATTTTGCTATACATCATTTTGCTTAAAGTCGCAGAACCTATCAGCATTAAGTGAGGACTTACTGTATACAGAACCACAAGTAGTATTTGTTCTAAACTAGCAGGAAATATTTAACTTACAGTAAGTTTCCTTAGGCTATTTTTAATTTTATATTTTATTTATACATGTATGTACACACAAGAAATTTAATAGAATTGTCTTGTTTCCTTTTTAGGGGACTTTTGTATAAGTCATCCACTGACTGCTTGATTCAGGCTGTCCAAGGAGAAGGGTTCATGAGTCTGTACAAAGGCTTCCTTCCATCTTGGCTGCGAATGGTAAAGTTAGGTCTTGCCTTCCTTTGTTTTGGTTTTCTTTGTACTTAAATTACTTTTAATCTATAAATATTTTCCCTTTTCTCTTCTGGTTTCTGCCATGGCCCTGCTCCCAAAACACAGTTCTTTTTATCTTTTTTATCTTTCTTGTTCTCTTTTACCTCTCCCCAGATTCTATTACCTTCTTTGGTAGATTAAAGTAAAATAATTCAGTTACCTCCAGAAATTAATAGTTTGATATTCTGTTGTTATAAAGCCATTGGATAGATTTTTCTGCAATATAAAGCCTTTAGTAGTCTATTTAGCCAAAATATCTAGTTCTGGACAGGTATACTGATACAATACTAGGGATCATTCCTATGCAAATGCTGCTGTTTCAAACAAAAGTTGTTACTTTGATGGCAAATGTTGCCTTACCCATTCTTAGTAAGAAAGCATTATGTCATTTTTATTTGGTTTAGGTGTTGTTTTTTACTAAAGTAAACCAATATGTAGAATTATACAGACTTATTTAAAAGACATAAAAATATAACAAAAACAAAGTACCCAGGTATTTTGTAAGTTAGAAAATATTTGAAAGAATGGCTGAGTTGTGAGTTTAGAAATTCAAACAATCAATACTTTATAATATCGAGGGCCTGCTCAGTACGGGCTTTGGGAGGAACAGAAGTCTCAGCCCCTGCCCCAGTGCTGGAGCTTCTAGTCTAGGTGAGGATAAACACAGAATAAAAAACTAGACGTGATGAGCAGTAGGGGAAAGTGCACGATACTGTGGAACTATATGGCCAGTGAGCATAGCCTGGCTGAAAGATTGAGAAAACCCTTGGAGAATGGACTTTTGAATTGAGAGTTGAGGAATGAGTACTGCTTAGCCCAGTAAAAAAAAGGGGTCAGAAGGAACATTCTAGGTGGACAGAGTAGTTGGAGCGGACAGAGAACTTCATGAGTTCAAGGAACTGAAGGAAAAACATCAGGCCAGGGCCCAGAGATGTGGAGGAGAGTGGCACAGGGTGAGGCCAGGGAGAGGCAGGGACCAGATTGGGAAGCGCCCCATGATCCGTAAGAGTAAGGGGACTAGCTGGCTGCCATGGGGTTCCAGAAAAGTCTAGGAGTAGTGATAGATGGAAGATAATGATAGCTTGGACTAGAGTGTAATAGTGGGGACAACCATGGCTCAAAGTATTAAAAACTTGCTCAAGTTCATATAGCTGGTATGTGGCAGAGCTAGGAATTGACTGTTCACCTCTAAACTCATGCTCCTGAATAATGCAGTATACTGAGTGACTGCTCAACTCTAAACCCATGTTCATAAATAATGCAGTATCCTGAGTGTCTGCTCAACTCTAAACCCATGCCCCTAAATAATGCAGTACACTGAGTGTCTGAAGATCCTACAGCTAGTTATAGAAGTTTTAAACAAAAAGAGAAAGTATGTAGTGATAGAGAGATGTTACCAGAGACAGGCTGGCTAACCACCAAAGATCACCAGGGTGACATTGCCCTGTTGATTTGCCATAATGCATGACCCTGACCTTAGGAACCTGACTCATGTGTATGTCCAAGATAACTGGCCTTGCAAATACAGGTTCACTTCAGCTGAACGCACTGAAATTGATGAGCAAACTGCAGTATCACCTCAACCACACTGAGAAACACTTAGCAAGTGGTTCAGATGCTGAAGTCCTCTGGACAGCTTGCTTCCTCCTTAATTGAAGCAATAAGGGGAGCCGAGTTACAATCAGAAGATTGCTTGCTGAACACAGAATAATAATAATAAGGAGGAGCTATTTGTAAACTTAATACTAAAGACTATCAACCCAAGAGCCCTTATGTATTCAGTTCCACAGTAATAGGCTTGGAGAAGGACTCTGCTCTTTTCCTGAGAGTTATGGCAGTAGGTAGGCCAGAGAAGACAACATAGGCTCATATATACTTGGATTCTTTTCATTGGTACAACTGTGCCAATGAGGAAAAAACTAGTAAATATGTACTACCCACATATACTCCTTCACAGAGGCTCAGTGTACCCCATTTCTATACTACACATATTTTCTGGCTATGTGGTCTCCCTCTTTAATTTCCATTCAAAACCCAGCTAAACTCAGTCCCAATCCCTTCCACCAGGTAGAGGCAATACGACCTCGGCTTGCTCAATCCCTGATGAATATACATTTCATTTACATACAGTTTGGTGGTTGTGTCACTAACATGAGGAAGAAGTCTAATTACCGGAACAATTAGGAATAATTGCATAGTCCATTCTTAACTAAGACCTCTGCTCCTTGACCCGACTACAGTTATGTTCTTGGTTCATTTTATTGTTATTGTCACAAGAATCTGATATCATCACAGCTTCGCATTCTTATTTTGTCTATGTCTTTATACATTTAACTGACCCAGATGTGGTCTCCTAAATCGACTCTTTAGTAAATTCTCAGTCTACCAGTGTAACATATTAATATTTCCAAACACATTGACATATATTGCTTTATAGACTTTCTTAACCAAATACATTTTATAATCTAATTGCTTAAGCTTATTTCTCTAGTTTGATAGAGTTTCTCTCTGATCAACACTACCCATCACCTGTGAACCAAACTAGACAGGAATTGGATCCAAAACACCCTTTCTCTAATGGTTACGTCCAGTGTTTACTCTGATTTCCCTGTGTTTTTAGCATTTATATCTTCTATTGTCAAATAACCCTCATTCCCTTATATATATAATTCCTTCTGACACAGTTATAACTTCACTCAAGTTAGTCAAATCTTTCTGAGCAGGAAGCTCTTCTCTATTAAATGTGAATTTTTATACCCATTTTGTGATACATGAGGTGTTGGTTTTGTGACCTCTCAGGATATTCTTTCATCTTCACTTGCAAGTCCGTAAGTGCCTCCTTGTCGTGCTCCATATACAAACTACACATAGAGGAGCCAGCGTGGAGTTCAGGCGTGCTGAGCCTGCTCCTTTAGGCAGAAATGTGCAATAAAAAGAGCTCTGAAAAGGAGGCCAGAAGCCTGTGGTCTAGATCCACAACATTCTAGTAGGCATTTGATGGCTAAGCCTCAGTATCCTCATCTGTATAAAAGGGATGTCAACTGTAAATTGTTCAGAGAAAATATACAACATGAAAATGTTCTGTGAGAAATACACAACACGAAAATGCTTTGTGAGTTATAGAGTGCTTTACAAAGGCAAGATAAAAATATTTGTTTTCAGCCTAGGCATATTCAAAACGACTTGGTCATTCAAAGATGTGTATGCATGCATGTAGAATATTCATAATTGCTTTGAAATTTGCACTAACTTCTTTGGTTAATCTTTCAGACCCCTTGGTCACTGGTGTTCTGGCTTACTTATGAAAAGATCAGAGAGATGAGTGGAGTCAGTCCATTTTAAGCCCTTAAAGATACAGTGTTCAGTATCATTGAAATATGGGCACCTGCAACACACCCCCTATTATTTCTACCTCTTTAGGAAGACACCTTGCTCTTCAGAGACTGTGATTTATAGGGGGCATCACTTTCTTTTTCTCTGGAGTTCCCTTTGACTCCTCTTTGTGCAGAAGCAATCTGGCTGGATCACATAGGCCACCCAGTGAGACCAGCAGAGCACTTCCTAAAGAATGCAGTCCTGACATTACCCTGGGAGATCTGCCCTTTGAGGTGTTATTTATGCTGAAGAGCCTGCTTAGAGGAGGCGAGCCAGAGGGAGACAGCATCTCAGACCTGGAGTAGACAGCAGAATGGGGAAGAATACATCCATACAGAGTGATGAAGAACTATATTTTACCTGTTACATCAGTCTTTCCAATTGGAACTTGATAATTCACTTTCTGTTGTTAAAGTGTACACACTGTTAATTAAAGAGAGGTGAATGAAAATTCATGAATAAACACTTTGAATTTCCCTAGTGTTGAAGGAAGTTAATGTACCTTTTCTTGCCAGGATGATGAAAAAAGTCGAGTTGGTAGGATGTTTGGATGAAGGAAGAAGCTGCTTTCTGTCAGTGCCCCATTGTTAGGTCTGCATTCATTGGTCAGCACTCCACGCACATGCTGAGTGCCTCCTGACAGCCACAGACTGAATCTTGATGAAAACAGAGTATTTACTTTGTCAAATATCCTGTTACAACTTGGATTTGTTGCTAGCTCTCAAGAAACTTCAATATATTAAAAATCCAACTTGTTTGATTAAAGTGCAGGTGCATAGATCTTTTTTATAAAGCAACTTATCATAAGCCCTTTAGTGGCATTTTAAAAGCATGGCTGAGGTTAAGCCATCCAGTCCTGACATGCACCCTTTCTTGTCTCCCTTTCCCTAACACTGAGGACCCTAGAAAGAGAGCGAGAGAACTCAGAAACCATACTGAAGCTGTCCCTAGCCTGAATCTTACCCAGTTTGACAAAGCTTCCTGGCAAAGATGATAAGTATAACTTGCCTATGATATAGTTATATCTCTCTCCAATCCCTGAATCACGTCCATTTTCTAATTTTAGAAAGATGAGAGAGCTTTTGAGATTCACCCATATCCACCTGCTCCCCCAACACCAGACGGTGGGCATGTCTGGATGGATGGCTACAGTGATGGGTGGAGGCTGTAACTGTCAAAATAGGAAAACTTAGAGTCCAGGCCCAAGAAAGACCTTGAGGCCAACTGAACAGTTGTTACCATGGGCATGGGTGCTGTTGGACAAAAAAGTTTACAAGTGTTCTGTGGTCGCACTAATGAGTAATCACTGCCATTTAAGAGGGGAAGTGTACTTTAAAATATATTTTACTGTGATGTACTAATTTATAGCTGCTAATCGTTTTTCTGTACAGTTTGCATGAAATCTTCAGATGGTGTAGTTTCCCATTGCATTTGTCAGTCTGTATGCACTGAGTTGGTAAATACATTTAAAATAATATTATGTTATTAAATTCCCAAGTGTTATGCATTAGAACCACTTGGGGAACTTTTGTTATTTTGAGTTTTATAGTATTTAATAAGTAAAGACTCGATCAAAAGAACTACATGCAGACTGGACCATAAAAATTTTATTCAGCTTTATTCTTGAGGGACTCAGGGTGAAAACATTGCTTAAGTACTGAGACTCTTCCTTGGTATCTGGATTCAACATGAATAATTGGACTATTTTAACCCGAAATGACTCTCTGGGATCATCTGGTTTAACCCTTTCATTTTATGTGTTTGGAAACTAAAGCCCAGAGAAGTAGAGTTGTTCATGTTTACAAGCTACTTAGTAGCAGAGCCAGGATAAAAATACAGATCTAAGTACAACTAACAGCTATTGTACAGATTTTTCTTTATGGCATTTTTTTGTCATACATGTTAAATTAACTCGAATTGCCTTTAGCATAAATTTTAGAATGGAGTCACCATGCTTTAGCTTGAACATTAAGACCCTCCATACTCTGACCAGATCCTGTGTGTTCAACACATATAGCCCATTACATTCATACTTTTCCAATGAAATCACACCCATTAATGTATTTTGGAACTTTGCTTTACTTTCACCAACTTGAAATCATCTTGTTCCTCTCCAAAATAATCAACAGTAAATAGAAAGGACTAAAAAGTTCAGTAATTTGTGTCCATACTGAAAGACATAATCATTTCAATCTCACTTTCTTATTATACTACATTTAGTATTTACCTTCAGTTCAGTATAACACTTGATAACACTTAACACCTAAGTTTCTTTTGCTTAATCTCCACATCTTTTCTCAAATCATTTTTTTTTCCCTCATGGAAAAATATATATATTCTTACTTTTAATTATATAGCTATTTGTTCTTTATAAGTGAACTAGCATATATATCTAAACAAAGAGGTAACATTTCCTAAGTTTGCTTTTAGTACGGGATAATGTCTTTATCAACTTCTCAAATCCTGTTTTACTATAAGTGACTAGTAGTGGTAGGACTAAGTTTTGTTTTTATGTAGCTCTCATTGGTAGCATTTCTTTGATGTTAGGTACTCAACAAAAGTTGATTATAGTTATAACATGAATCAATTTTTGTCTTCATTATTTTAAGAATCTCCCTATCCTAAGACTAGTCAGAAATTTCTTTCACTTTGATAAGAAAAAGTAAACAAAGTCAAGGAGGTTTTAAATGCAAAAAAAAAAAACCCAAAACTGTCATTTTCAAAGTTTTAAGCTCAACCATTTATTAACAATTGAAATAGTTATGTGTGTTCTTTGTTAATGAAAATAGATCCCCTCAGGACCTCCATTGGAAAAAAATGTTTGATTTTAATACCTGTGGTTAAAAAAAAAGTAGGCGGGGGGAGGAATATTCAATTCTTTTCTCCCCAATGAAACCAGGACTCTTTAAAACAATTACAAAACAAGTATATATTATTATGAAATGCCAGATAATGTGGAAGAAAGACAACGTGGGTTCTAAAGACCTTTATCTGACTGGGGTTCTACTTCTGACAAAGTATAACTATGATCCGTTTCCTTCTCTTTTGATTTCCGTTTCTCCATAAGATGAAATGACTGAACTCTAGAAACTTAAATTGCATGTACTTAAAGGGGGCCATTATACCTGTGCCATGTGGGAAAAAAAGTAGGATTAAAAATATTTATTGGGATTTGTTTTTCCCTGGATTTAATTTCTCATAATGCAAGATTGGGAAAGGTTTACTCAGGCCTTAAAGTATAACACAAACTTTAAAAAAGAAAAAACAAGATTTTTAAAAAATGGTATCATACAAACTTGGTATATGGCTGGCCTGTCTCACCCAGAAACCCACAGGGTAGCAGTCTTCCTTCAGACAACTCTGAGCAACTCAGTTTGACAAATTCTCACCTTCAGTGGCTCCTTTCTATACACAGTAAAAATTTAAATCCTTAGTACTACATCCAAGGACCTCTCCATCTGACTTCATTTCTCTAACCTTGGTGTTTCACTGCCTGCCTGAACTCTACCACCTTTTACATGCATTGCTTGCTGATTTCTCTAGAGATGCTCTTGGCTGCCTTTCATGCAGTTTGTGCTCTGCTCTCCACCTGACTTCCCTCCCATCACCACCACCCGTTCCTCCTCACTTCATTGGTTAAATCCAACATTCACGTCTAGAATGATCTCCGAGGACTTCGACACCTTCCACCCGGCGCTCCCATCGCCTCCCCTACTGCGACTGCATGTCTGAATGTATGGATGTCTGCCTGCTTCCCCTCTGCAGAATGAACCCGTGGGCAAGGACCATCTGCTGCATCTGTTTCCCTTACACAATTCAAACAGAAGCCAGTTAGGAGGTGTGGGTTGAATTCAGAGATCTTTGGAGCATGGAGAGAGAAAAACATGTATGCACACATGATTAAGTCATTTGTTTTCTTCCTAACGTCAGAATAATTAGGTTGGGTCAGTAACACTTGATTTCATGAGATTCTTAACCATATTAAGTGTTTAACTGCAGTTTCTCAAGATCATGTGTGTTTACACATATGTAATTATTATTTTAAAGACGTATTCATCAGTTTAATAGCTATTCCACAAAAATCTAGAATTTGAAAGTTTTAAATGATATATTTGGTGAGTTGATGGGGTGACTTTATACTAATATTCATTTTAGAGTGTATATGGAACTTATCACTCTTTGGGCCTTCATTGATGCCATCCAGCTGCACATTTTGCCCAATCAAGTGTTTTAATTTTATTACTTCTGAATTTTGAGGAATACATGATTATTTTCCTTTCCCCATACTTTGCCCCCAACAGGCTGCTGTGATTGTCAACAGCAGCAGGATCCACATTGAAGGTTTGATAAAAGCAGATGAAGATGCTTAAAGATGTCTATTTGCTGAAAATATCTGGTAACAAACAGGAATATATGTGAGTAAATACAGTGCGTTACTCTGATTTTTAAAATAAATGTTTTAAGTCACCTAACTGGCTGTTAAGGGTTTTGTTTTGTCCTGGTGTGTGGTTTTATCTTGGTGCACTTTTTAGTTAAGATGGTAACATTTAGAGATGATTTTTAAATACTGATCTTCACTTTTTACAAGTGAAAAAGAAACTGGCTTAATTTAGGATGTCAGATCTGAAACATTTATATTAGGGAAAGGATGCACATACCTTATCACTATACATTTACTAATTTATAATAAATTATAAATTTATATATATAATAAATTACACATAATCCAATTCATCTATTAATCCAGTTCTCCCTACTAATCTAGTTCTGCCCCGACTACAAAGGATGGATAACTGTTAATTGCAATGATGGACAAGCTCACTGGCTGAGGACAGAAGAGGCAAATAAAATGGGGATTACTTTAAGCATCAGAGAATTAGTCCCTTCCTTTCTGATACCACGTTCTTTTATTTCCATACTGTTCCCTCCTATCATTTGTTTTTCCATTACTACTTTTCAGTCTCTACTGTCTGTTTCTTTACTGACAAATTCTTCAATTTTTGTTCTCAAGGTTCTATTCTTGGCCCTCAATTTCATAAACATTTATGTACATACAGGTTTTCGTATGAACCTAGGTTTCCAATTCTCTGGGACACATGCCCAAGGTTGCGATTGCAAGGTCATATGCGAAGTACATACTTACTTTTCAGAAGGTGGCTCCACCGTGGTGCATTCCCACAGGGATGTGAGGGATCCAGTTCCCTCCACATCCTGGTCAGTACTGATGTTCTCATTAGTTTCCAGTCATCGTAGGGCCGTAGTAATATACAGCTGTGGTTTTGGTTTTCTCTGATGGCTGATATGCTGAACACCATTTCATGTGCTGCTTTGCCATCTGTTTGTTCTCTTCAGTGAAGTGTCTCTTTGCATCTTTTGCCCGCTTTTCAAATTGGATATTTTTTACGGTTGAGTTTTGAATGTATTTTACAGGTTATGGCTGTAAGTCCTTTGTCAGACACGTGGTTTGGATATACTTTATCTTAGATTGTCTTCTCATTCTCTATGAAAGGCATTTTTTTCACTTGAATAATTTTTTTAAATATATATTTATTGAATAGTAATTTCCTAAGTAAGCATCTTTAAACAGGGCTAACCAGTGGTGTGGAAACTACAGATTTTAACGTGTACTGTGTTTCTGCTTCGAGTTCTCTCATAAAGGAGAGGTCTAAGATGGCACAGAATAAAATGTCATCTGTTTTGCCCAGCTTCCCTTCATCTTGCTTTCATAAAAATTATTTAACTCACGATATGGGATCCCAATACCTCTCAGACACATTTCATCCCTCACCTTATCTTTTTTCTTTTAACTCTGAAATATTCATATTAGAATAAGATTATTTCCATTCTCACCATTTCTGAAGCCAAGGGCCTCTGAGTCTAATAGGAAGTTTTTTTATTTGCTGTGGAACTCAAGATATTTTGCTTACTAAAGCATCAGAAAGGTGTGGCCGAAGTTAATCTTCACTTAATCTGCAATGGTTGAGGTTTTTTTTAGTTGCCTGTCCAGAAGCAGAGGAAGACAGAGCAAAGTAGAGTTACCCATCCCAGACACAGAAGAGGTGGGACACTGGAAATATCCGGGAGGATGGGAGAAAAGGGCCCCAAGTGGCCACACGATACACCTCAACAGCCAGGATTGAAGGCCTTGAGCCATGGAAGAAGTTGGGGGACAAGTTAAATAGGAAGCAGAAGTCACTAACTATATCTACAACCCTGTGGTCGGTCTCTGTAGGAGTTTCGTTACACTGCTTAAAGTGAAAAAGATTAACTGAAATCTCCAACAATCCCAAATGATAGTGAGACCATTTTATAATAAACCCCTTCCTTCCACTGTGAAGAACATACTGCCAGGCTAGCTCCTCCTTCTTTGGTTAAACATCTATTGTGTGCGGGCTGAGAGTCCCGCACTGTGCTAGGCATTGAGAATATAAAATAAAGAAGAGCTCCTGCTTTCAAGAAGGCCACACTGGTAGAAGGGAGAAATAGTAAACAGTTGCAAGACGCGATAGGTAATACAACAAACGTGTAAAAGGAGGGGATAGTAGAGTCATGAAGAAGCAAGATTTCGGCTAGAGCTTGCTAGATATCTTTAAATCAAATGCTTTCCTTACATCATGATTGAGACAAGTAGAGTCCATCTGGAAAATGGAATTGAATTTTCAAGGATGAGTTTATGGGGAAAAGTCTAGCTTTTTTTTTTCCCCAGCTTCTATAGAGAATACTCTTTATTGTACAGGTATCATATACGAAACAGTTTAATTTGTGAACATTTACAGGCATGGAGTTCAATTCCAAATCTCCATGACACCCCATACACTGCAGGGTGCACTCCTGTTTGGGATCAGCCCAACAGGAATGAGACACAAAGTTACTGCTTTGCTAACAGCAAGCTTCCCAATTAAAAATTCCCTGTTTGGGTTTTGCAAAACATGTAGAAACAAAGCCTGCTAAGGATTTTATGTTTTTCTTAAGGCTTTGAAAATTAACTCTTCAAATGGCAAGTTCTGTGAAATGACATGTTCCTTTAAGGTCCTGAAGCTTTATTTGCATAGTTATTTCACATCTTGGTGATTTGAGTAAACTTGAAAAGTTTATTCAAAGAGAAATCAATTTCATTCTTCCACGTATTCATTACTTTAGTATTTCATTGTCTCAGCCCCAGGCTAGATTCCAGGAATGCAAAAAGTTCTTGCCAAAAAGAGCTTTTAAACTGGTGGGATGACAAATTGCAACACAAGGTGCAAGTGCAAAGTAAACCCAGGAGGCTCTGGAAGCACTGGGTAGCCTCTAATCTGGATACATGGAAGGCACTGAGACTTGCAGGGTTATATTAAGCACTGCCTTGACTTTATATTGTATCTGATGATTCTTCAGGATGTTAAGGAGTGAAATGGAAAAGTATGAGGAACTCTGATGAATGTGTCTAACATTGCAAATGAACAAATCTAATGCAGACATACCTCTGGAAGCTACTCACAGTGCCTGCGCTTCTCCATTACACTCCCTCCTCCTTGACAAATGGAGTCTCCCAAGGGCTCCCTTGGTTAAGATTGGGGGGAGGGGGCAAGGAACAAGGGCCCAGCCAAGAGACCCTCTGCCACAGAAGATACAGCAAGAATCTAAAGTCACGCTTCCTCCATTCCTCTTGACCTTTTTGAGTCCAGTTCTGTCCTAGCTCTGGGAGTAAATGAAGAATAAATGCCTGAAAAGTTCGGGTGCCACAGTTAGGCAAACTAAACAGCAAAGAAACCCCTACCGGGTAATGGGTAGCATATGGAAGCATTTACGCCTCTATATAGTCTCATACTTCATTTTAACCCTTGTAACAATTCAGGTGATGAAAGGGTTTCAGAGAACAGAGGGTCAGCAACTTGCTGGAGATCGCAGCAAACCCTGTCCCATGCAGGGCACGAGTGCGCTGGCACCCCTCAGCCGGGGAGCCCCTGGGAGTTCGGGGCCTAACGCCCGGGAACGAGCTGTTGGCACGTCATTTCTCCTGCCTTTTCCTCCCCGGGGAGCCCGAGCCTGGCTCACAGGGCTCATCAGCACTAATTAGCCGAAGGGGAAGCTCTGGCCTGGGCTGCCCGCAGCCCTTGTCCAGGCCTCCACACTGCGTCCCACAGAGTCCCGTCCCAATCCTCCCACAGAGTCCCGTCCCAGTCCTCCCACAG